CCAGATGTTTTGACATCACACGCACAGTTTATAATTGGCATGGGCATTTCCAACAGCACAAGATTTCTCATGCTGCTGTCTATGAACAATGAAATCTGTGAAAGCACACACCACCCTTTTCCTCAGCAGGAAGAATCCTATTTGGGTGATGGCTTCTATTTATAGAGCATGCTTATTTTTGTACAAATGTTTCCCTTCATTCTTTTAGTTGGGAAATCCAGCTTAGACCTGCTGTTGCAAGTACCTCTGAAATGGGAATACTGGTGGACTGAGTTGATGATTTCATGTTTTCCTATGACCCTGGTGCAGAAGAAAGCAATGAATTTACACCTTCCAAGTGAAGATAAACGTGGAGCTTGGGTGTTGCATGTTTTGCAGGTAACCTCTGTTCACTTAGGTGATGGGAGGTGATGCTCCCAGCATCCTTGGACAAGGAGTTGGCCTGGGCCAGGATGGAGCAGGAGCTGATGGGATCCGGAGCAATGTCACTGTTGGCATAGGTGGAAACTGGTGGGGCCAATGCCCTAAAATCACTCTGTTCTCTTCTCTTCAAATATCCTGTTTCTCTCCATATTGAGATTTCCCCATCACACAGCACAAAGTGTGGGATAAACATCCCACTACCGTATGTTTACTTTCATTTAAGAATTCAGCCACATAGAAAACTGTCAGATACACGATTTCACGGCATCACGGAAAATAGTCTCACGCATTTCACCATAATGGCTATGAAAAGTTTCACGGGAAGAGGGAATCTGGACTATTTGGAATAACATTTAATCATCTTTAAAGATTTATCTGGTTGCTCAAATGTCTTGGACTCCACCCTCCAGAAAAGTCACTCAAATCAGAAAATTGAAACAGGTTTGATCTTCTAAGAAAAATGTGGTTGGCTTTCTGGATTAGTCTCTACGGAGTGAGCAGAAGGTGTCATTATGTGGTCAGTGTTTAGACACAGGCACATTTGAATTTAAAGGGCCCTCCCAAGGGAAATAAACTCTTTCAGAAGTAGGAAAGTTTCTTTTAAAGCATCCAGTATATTGCATGGCATCCTGGAAGAGTGGATAAATATCTTCAGTTCAGTTCGGCTTTTGGTAAAAGATGGGACACAAAGATACATTTCCTAACTTCATACCTGCAGTCACCAAACCACCAAAGACAAATGAAAAGACCCAAGAGAGTTAAGAAAACTCCACATGTTCCTATTAACTTGAGTGAGGAATCAGAAAGCAAAGCTTGCTTCTAATTATGTAGTTCACCTCCCTCGGAGTCACAGTCACATCTTGATTATCAATATCAAGGAGGAGGCACACCAAAAATTAAACTTTTGGCTAAAATGAGTCAATTTTGATGCAAACAGTATAAAAGATTGTATCAAGCCACTTAATTATATTTCTCCAATCCATATTTTAAATTAATAATTTAATGAAGATATTACGATGCTTTGTGCATAGTGAATTCTGCATACACAATGTGGCCCTTTTTCCTGATAATCCGGATTAAAAAGTTGGTCCAAATCTTTGTTCTTTGTTGATGGCAATTGGGGCAAGCTTCTTCTAGACCAGCCGTCAAAGCTGGAATAACTCAAGAATATGGACTTAACCCAAAGCCTGCCACCCATTCGATAGCCCTGGAGAGCTACTAAGGCAGCCGGAAGCCAGGGCCCAGGAGCCTGCAGAGGGGGAAGTTTATTGAAGTGGGGCCCGTATTCAATGGAACTTTTACCATATGGCATTTTCTAACTGTAATGGTGCAGGGATACGAGGCTAAGGATCTGAGCAGAAGTACTGGCTGAGAGGTCAGGAAGCCAAGGGTCTACAAGGTGGAACAGTCCTTGTAAACCCACCAGAATTTCAGTAAGGCCCCCAGAAAGGCTGCGCCCCAGGGGTAAGGCCAACCAGGAAGCAGATTCGCTGTCGTGATGGACTGAAACTTAACTATGAACCAGCTCAACCCCAGACTCCCTTAAAGTAATCTTTTTCTATTCTCACGGGTTTACAAAAAGCAAAAGTAAACCCTTTCTAGAGGAATCTAACATCTGCCGGAGCCCCAAATTATCTCCACAAAGTTTTCACTTCTGTTGTTCAAACCCAAATGACCACCGTTTCCCCTCGGAAGGACTAAACCTTGACCTTCATCTCTAAAATTTGTTTCAATGTCAGCATCACGAGCTCCATGTTTCTTCTGTTCCTGCTGAGCCCCGATGCTTGGCCCTCCTCCTCCTGCACGTCCTGGAGAGTGTGGCATTTGGGCCGAGTCCTCAGTGGGGTCCCCCCGGCATCCGGCAAGTTTCTCTTGGCCCTTCGTGCTTTTCTCCCCAGAGATGCGTTAGAGGTTTGGCCACCCCCCCTCCAGGATTCCACCTCCCCTACAGTCCTGGGGTCTTCCCCACGCGTTTTGAAGTGTTTGAGCAAGTTCATTGATCACTTTCAGGCACACGGCAGCCTTTCAACGCGGAGGGGAAATGGCCCTTTTGAATGTCGGTTGGCCTCTTAAATGTCAGAAACAGCATCTCGCCATATCCTGTTTCCTCCCACCCGTCTTGCTCTCCGTCTCCTTCCCCACTGCTTCATCCCACCGCCACCCTCTCCATCTCCTTCATCACCACCAGCACTAGGCAATACCAGGTGGGCAGCGCCATCTGGGTGCTTTCCATCATCAGCTCTCTGAACAGTCACAAGAACCTCATCAGGTGACTTTTATTAGCGGCCTTGTTAACTAGTGAAGAAACTGGAACAGAGCTGGTGCACACGCTCATATCCTGTGGTGGGATTTGAACTCCGACCTGGTTCCAGAGCCCATCTCTTCCCCTTTCTGTCTTACAGACTCTGGCAAATCCTGTATCCAAAATGTTCGAGTCTCTCTCCAACAACAAAGAACGTACACCTTTCAGGAACATGTTAGAGAGTGTAATCGCGAATTTAATTTATCCAGCACCGGGCAAAGGCCGTGTTAGGACATCTAATATCCAGGAGAGAGCTTGATGTACTTGCTAGCTGCCTATTCCTCTCATTTCATTACTTGTACCTCTACAGGAGGAGAGACATCAGCTCTGCGCTGGAGGAATCCCAAGCTCATTGTCCGATGTCCATTTGAAGAGAAGCTTTGTGCCCTTGCCAGTATCCACAGGTGAGCAGAACACATTTTCCCTTATGCTACTCACAGTCTCTTACTTTAAGATCCATGGTAAATTTTCCTTGAAGTCAGTGATACTAACAACAAAGTCTCTCATTCACGGTGTTTAGTCCATGACTAGGCACACATTTCTGTTTTTCTGAGTCACAGGAGCTACGCTAAGGCCCCGCTGACGTGACTCATTAATCTCATGCACTTGGTAACATTGATAGGTTGTCTTATTTTAGATTGCGGTTATCCGATTTTGATTTTCATTACCATGCCTATACTGAATATTAAAATGTATTTTGAGTTTTTTTTTTTTGAGATAGGTTCACAAGAAATTCTACAGATGAACCAATATCCCCAGGGAATGTTCTGTGGGCTGCCAGATCAATAAGATATGAAGAGGTGGTCCAAGAAAAACATCCCCAGGCCAGAGAAGAATGAGGGACTCTGCAGCCCATACCTACCCCTCCTCAAGAAGCACAGAGCACTTTAAAGGCACCTGGAAGTGCTGGAGTAAAGGAAATCTTCCCAACCGTTCAACTCAGTGTTCCCCACACCTAGGGGACCCCCAAGTCTTCCGCCACTCCCTGCCCCACAATGCTGTAACTTGCGGAACTGACTTCTTGGAACCAACGTTTAGGAACACAGGAATAACGAGCTCTGTGCATTGGCAGTAACAGGAATGCTGGCAGGGGAAGCAAGGGGGGAGGTTGGATCACTACCGCGACTGGGCTGTTGTGAGGTTGGAACCTAAGGACCCAGGCCGCCGCTGGGAGGGGGGATCTCACCTCCTGCCTGAGTCACGCGGGGGCCGCTGGGTGGGAGACCCCTGGGGGCCAGCAGGCTGAGAGGGCCACCTGAGTGACTGGGGCCATTGCAAATGCGGACACAGGTGTTTTCTCTGCAGACCTGGGAGGGTGTGAAACGTCAGCTGTCCACGAGGAAGCGGGGCTCGCAGGGAGTTGTGGACGCCTCCCATCTCTCTCACTAACTCCGCCTATGACTATGGAGCAGTTGCCTAGATTCACTGAGCTAAACATAAGCTCTCTCACTGGCAAAAAATGGTTAATGAAACCAACCTTCACAAAGTCAAATGTGGCAACGGATCGAAGGTCGAGAGCCCAGCGTGGAAGGCTCTGCCAAGGGCTGGGACCCTCAGTGGTGATTTTGTGATCTCCGTCACAGGAGGTGCCATCCAGTCCCCGACCCCAGCCCCGACACCCAAGGAAACCAGGACCTCAGCACATTTCCTCAGATGCAATGACTTCCTAATTGGGGTAGAATTCAGCGACCGAACGTAAACTGGTGTCCTAAGCCTGTCCCCAAACATTGCTCCATTGGAATTAATGGAAAACGGCAACCATAATTCATAATCATAAAAGCACAGAAGCCAAGAGTAAAGAATGGCTCTCCTAGAAAGGTAACGTGGTTGTTATTTATAAGCTCCTGGGCCATCTTGTTATTGCTGAGAAAAATCTGCTTTTCCTACTCGCTGCTGCTCCGTCTGGCCTCTCAATCTGTACTTGCTGAAAAAAACAGTTATTGTTATGCTAAGACCACAACGGGACGCACGTAATTCAGCACTAAATAACACTGATAAAACTATGAAAATGGCACTTTGGCATTAGAAGTTATTCTCGTATGGACTTTAATAAGATTCAATGCTTTTTGTTCTCACAGAGCTCTGGTATTTTCAGCTTCAAACACACAAAAAGATAAAAATATGAAAAACCTATTCTGGCAAAACAACATCCTCTCTCCCCAAAGCAGCGTTCTGATTCCATGCGCAGGGAGCCAGCAGGGGCTGTGGCACCCGGCGTCAGCATCGGCCAGCCACCATGGCTGTGGCTGCAGCACGGTGCTCAGTGGGGACTCACCTCTTTCTTGGTGAATTTTGGCGAGTGGTCGTTTTTGTCATCGATCATGATCGTCGCTGTGGCGGTGCCTGTCAGTCCGACATCGAGTCCAGCCATATCTTGAGCCTCAATGATCAATTCATACTTGGGGTTTTCCAGAGTCTATAAGGCAAAAAACACAACAGAGAAGACTGCATTTAGATTTGGGTAATCGCTCTGGACCGGTGGCAAGCCTGCTGGTTGGGTTGCCTCCATGCCCTCCAACCTCTAAAGCAGGCGCCTTAAATCCATCACAGCCCCTTCTACCTACTATGTACACATGTGCCTTCAGAGTGCCTCCAACACAGACAGTCAGTATTCAGAGACTGGCATTGGCTGTAGGGCTGGAATCTATTTTCTGTCCTTATTAAGGGGACTTTTGATATATTCCAGGATTCAGAGAGTAGGATAAAAGATGGCAGCCTTAGGAACTCATGTATACTGAACAATCTGATGGACAAGCATTGGGTTACTGTTCGTTGTACTTAATCTTCCCAACAAACGTGTTAAGCCACATTTATGGTTCCCATTTTACAGGTGAAAAAAAAAATACCAGCTGAGGCTTAGAGTCACTTGTACTGTACTTCTCTCATGTAATGTTTAGTCATTTTAGTATTAAAATTAGAAGATGCATTTTAATCCATGATCTGGTCGATGTAACACAAGTAATATTGCACTACTGTCTCTCTTAGCGTACATGCTTTGCATTTGAATGATGGATACTCTGCTCCCATGTCTAAATGCTCAAAACAGCTAACCAGGTGGCCCTGGGCCCAAAATGAAGATATGTACAAGGGCTGGTAAATGGCAGGCCCGGCATTTAAATTGCCTTCTGTGTTAGCCCTTTTTTCTGGTGAGGCAGCACCTCCCCTTCCTCTGGGGACTTCTCTGCCTATTTGGGTTGTCTTGCCTTCCTCCACCATCCACCTGGTCAGCTTCTGAAATGGGCCCTGGTCTGGTGAAGCCGTACATGCGTGCCATGCCAGGGACACACTGCCTGGCCCGGGAGCAGCACCTGGGTCCTGCAGTTGGGCAAGGGAAGTTCTGATGGCCTGCGGTGTGAACCTGGAAGCATTTTGCCTGGGGGCTAGATGAGCCATCTCACACCACTGGAGGGGTGAGGTGGGGAAGTCCTTCTGAGAAGGAACCCCATCTACTGGTAGAATTAAACTTGAACCCTGGAGAAAAAGAAATATCCCCATAGATTTCACTGGAGCACGTCATCATGCCACGCCCCGAGCCAGGCCTGCTCACACACTTTACAGCCACTTAGGGCTTTACTTTTCCTTGTGTGCTGAGGCAGTTTGGATTGATTTCTTAATCTCTCCTACAGAGAGCTCAAGTTGGACCACCTTCATAACAAAAATAAAGTCCTACTGGTATGACTACTTCAAAGACCGCTGCTTATACCAACCAATTATTAAGAACTGTCATGGGAGGCAGGAACATAAACAGAATGGGGATCTATAATTCCCAACTAGAGCTGAAAGGTTACATGATACCTTTTAATAGCTGCATGCTGTTCCCAAAACTGTAAGTGATTTTTAAAGGATGGTTAGCCGTTTGCTCCTGAGGGCACATTCAATTGATTGTTTCCTACCTAAGAGCTCCTGAGCTACTAGCTTAAGGACTAGTATTTTTGCTGGCTGGTTTGGGAGGCTCTAAAGTCATCCGTTCAAGAGGACGAGTGGAATGCTGATGGACTCCTTGCACAGAGCCACCCTGCTTCCCCCAGCTTTACTGAGATATGACTGACCCTGTGGAAGTCTAAGGTCCAATGTGGTGATCTGACGTATGTCTGGGCTGTGAAATGAGCTCCACCAGGATTGAAAGTCAAACAATTCTCTAACTGTGAAATGCAAACAGAATTTAACACCCAACCCAGCTCTGACTAATGCTGGTTCTACTTGATTCGGTTGGCACCTCCCTCTAAAGGTGGTTGGTCTAAATGCCATCTGTTCTCAGGCCAAAGCTGGAAAATCATCAGCCTCATTGTAAGTGACTTTCTACTCATCCTAACTGACAAGTTGGATAGGATTCACTGTTTGCCATAAATTCTGCAGCTAGACCATACGAAACCAATAATTGGCCCGTCTTCAAACATCTCTCCCTAGGATCTCTGGAGTTGCTAACCACAGCTAGGCCCAATGTTTTACATAGCATTTTTGCTTTTGTAAACCATTGCATGTTTTTGGAAGCATGTACTCATAAGAATAAGAAATTATGTGGATTTTTTTTCCTGATATTGTAGGATCACAGTAAACTTACTACCATTTCCCCCATGTAATATCGTTCACCAACAGAATTCTTTGACATTATCTTAACAGTTGCATAAAATAGAATTGTATACATAATTTATAATCTGCTTCATCTGTTATTAGGACTTTAGGTCATTTCTAATCTTTTGAAATTTTTGACAATTCTAAATAACACTGCAATGAACATCTTTAGTCGGGAAGCTTTTGATATATTTTGACTTTTTGTTTCTTGAACAATAGATTCCAAGAAATGGAATTACTAGGTCACAGAGTATGGACATTTTAAGGCTCTATACTCATATTTCAATAGTGCTTACCTAGGCAACGTTACCAATTTTCACATCAGTTCTGCTAGAATGGTTGGCTTATGGTCCCAGGCATTGCCTGTCCCTGAAGAATAGGCGATCTTACTCCATGAAGCAAACTCAGGATAGTTTCTAGAACATTCTAGGATAGCTACCTAAGAAGGAGGCAAACTCCACAGCACTTGCTCTTCCCCAATTCGCAGGGCAAGTTGCCGTGGACACACACCACAGGGCAGCTTCAAGCACTAACACAGCGTATTAATACAGCTTCACCTTCCCAGGCCCCTTCCCTCTTCCTCTGGCACTTGTGTTTTAGTTCCTTTGGGGGCATCCCCCTTTCCTCGATCCCTGATGGAGTTCAGGAAAGGCTGACTCTATCCCTGATCTAGGGATGGTCATGTGCCTGAGGACTGGACAATCAGGACCTCCCATGCCCATGGCCATGGCCACGTGAGGAGCATGTCACCCAAGTTGGGCCACCTGGGACTGAGACCCAATTCCAGGACACATTTCTTTTAGAACCCTCAGGTGACAGAAGTTCTCTTTCTGTTGAACTTGGAGGTGGCAGGACATAAATCTGAGGTTGATAATGGCCATTGACAACCACACTGAGAAAGCTAGCCCAGGAGAGAAGGCAGCTCAAAACCGAGAGGTCGAGATGGAGTTCTTTTAACCTCACTTGAGCCATTTAATAGTCATCCTTGAAGCTGGAATTTACCCCTCAGATTTTGGGTTCTATGAGCTAATGAATTTTTCCTTTCCTTAAGACATTTAAATTAAATGTTCTGTGAGTAGCAACAAAGGAGTTTTTTTTTTCTTTTTCTTTTGAGAGTTGCACTTCCACTCTTTTTTTTTTTTTTGAGAGGGCATCTCTCATATTTATTGATCATATGGTTGTTAACAACAATAAAATTCTGTATAGGGAACTCAATGCACAATCATTAAGCAACCCCAAGCCTAATTCTCAACAGTCTCCAATCTTCTAAAGCATAACGAAAAGTTTTTACATGGTGAACAAGTTCTTACATGGTGAACAGTGCAAGAGCAGTCATATCACAGGAACTTTCGGTTTTGATCACGCATCATGAACTATAAACAATCAGGTCAATTATGATTATTCATTTGATTTTTATACTTGATTTATATGTGAATCCCACATTTCTCCCTTATTGTTATTATTATTATTATTATTATTATTTTAATAAAATGCTGAAGTGGTAGGTAGATGCAAGATAAAGGTAGAAAACATAGTTTAGTGCTGTAAGAGGGCAAATGCAGATGATTAGGTGTGTGCCTATGGACTAAGTATTAATCCAAGCTAGACAAGGGCAACACAACATCCACGGATGCAGAAGATTTCTCTCCAAGCAGGGGGGGTGAGGTTCTGAGCCTCACCTCTGCAACAAAGGAGTTTTGATTAATACTGCAACTAATACTATGATCAACAGTCTGGTTATTTGCAAAAAAGTGTAAGAATTATTTATCATACTACAGTATCACAATAGGCTCTTCACAACAACATTCCAATCATTTCATGAATATATTATTTCCTTTAAAAATTTTCCCCTCCACGAAACCATTTTTTTTGGACCAGAGAAAGTTATTTTAATTTTTCTTCCATTAGTTTGTGCATCGATTGAATTGGAAGTTATTGAATATTTAGTTTAAATATTGTGCTGGGTGCTGGGGAGATGGAGATGGGAAAACAGGGTCTCTTTCTTCAAAGCATTCAGAGGAGTCTAGGGCCGGGGACAGGCCTGTGCACATGTGACTGCAACAGAGCAGAGTCGCAGCTAAGCAGAGTCATTGGCTTGCCAGTGGGTTCCAGCCCCGGGCAAGGTCACTCTTGATTCGGTGAGACTGAAAAATGACAATGGAATGTTCTTGGGGTGAAAGGGTTTGTACCCAACTTAATTCCCACGGTGGCAGGTCAGTCACTAGAATCCTGTCCACGCAGAGCGAGTCTGCACGCAGCAAGCCAGTCTCTGCCTCTGGGGCCCTCCACCCCCACAGCCGTCTCAGTCTCTGTCCTCAGCACTGCCACCACTCTCGCCTCTGCTCACCTGCAGCCCTGCAGCCCAGAGCCCTGGGTGGAGCTCCTTATATAGAGTCAGTAATAACGTGTGCCCACCCGTGTGTAGTGAGCAGGCTGACCAGGGTCAGGGGAGAATCCTGGCCACAGGAACTTTCATTTTTCTCTACAGTCATGCATAGGTTCTTCTGACAGCACCCTGGAAGGACACGTTGGCTTAACTCATTTAGAGTTTCAGTAATTCTATAAATAATTTTTAAAATGAACCAGCCAATTCCCATCTCCTGAAGTAAATAAAACCTTAAGACTGCAATGGGAAATAGATTGATTAACCTCATAGAAAATCAATTAGACTATTAAGCAGATAAATTGTAAAGTTTGGGGTGAGATGTTCCCAAACTCTCGATTTTCTGTCAAACTTGAGGCTACCATAGGAAGTTTTTATTGTTGAAGGAATATCTAATTATTGTAAGGAAAATAGAAATGATACAGTCATTTCTAAAGTGCAAAGTGGGAATTGTCCCAACC